AAAATCTGATAAGTACTTTATCAATCAAAGGTATTGAGTTGATCATCCAAATCCAAGCCTAGATGGCTTCACTGGTGAATTTTAACAAATACTTAGAAAGAAATATGAAAAATGAAATACTTTCTGGCTCATTTTATGAAACTAACAATGTTAATGGCAAAATCTTAAAAACTATATATTTAAAATGATATGCCAATATCATTCAGGATCACAGATGCAACTGAATCCAGAAATATATAATGTCCTTATGTTTATATATAATGTTTAACTGAGGACGTAAAGTTTTAATTTAGAAAAAGTGAATAGTTAAGTTTTACTATGCAAAAAATAGAGGGAAGTAACAACCTATGTTCATTTCACTGGATACAAGTCAAAACAAAACAAAAATGAACAAAAGTTATCATCTATCCAGGATCAAAACTGTCAACAAAGCTGAAACAGAAGGCATATTTTACCTAACACATGTTATCTACAAAAAGGTTAGAGCTACAATTTTCAACTGTAAAAATACCGCAAGCTTTCCTCCATGTTTGGGAATGAAGGAAGGTTCCTACACTCACTATTTGTACTCAGCCTTATCTAGATACTAGCCACTGAAGTAAACAAAAGGTATAAAAATTGGAAAGGAAGAAGTAAAACTCTTTAAGCAGGTGATATAATGATTATATTCACAAAAATCACAAAGAATTTATAAAACAACTAAAACTAATAATTTACCAAGATAGCAGGGAATATCATAAAATTTATATTAGAAGCAAAAACTAATAATTTAAAAATAGTAAATTTATAATATTGTTGAAAACAAGATAAATGCATAGAGAAAATGTGGTATTTGCAGTATATACAACAAAATACTACTCAGACATAAAAAAGGATAAATGAGGCATTTTTAGGTAAATGGATGCAACTTGAGATGATAATGTTAAGTGACATAAATCAGACACACAAGTTTAAATATCACATTGTTTCTCTGGAGTGAGAAACCTAAAGTATAAACGGGGCAAAATGGAGGACAGATATTAGGAAGCAGGAAGAACATTTTCAAATGGGAAGGGGAACAAGAGATGGGAGAGAGGAAAGGAAAGTAAGGGAAAAGGGATTGAAAGGCAAAAAATGGAAATAGAGCTTTTATAAATGAGGAGGGGAAGAAAGGTTGAGGGAGAGGAGGGGTAGAGGACAAAAAAAGGAGGAATTAAGATATGCCAGGTATGCCAATCCCCTGTGGTGAATGTGACTCTCTACACTGTGAACACACAGTACTAACAAAAAGTATGTGAAATACTGTGGAAAGCATAGATTATTTAGGAATAAATTTAACAAAAGGAATACAAGACCTTGCCCTGAAAATATACAATGCTGCTGACAGAAATTAAAGAATACCTAAAAATGAACAGAAGAACCATATTCAAGAAATGGAAGACTCAGTATTGTTCAATATTCAGTTTGATGTGTCAGCTTGAAGAGACTAACAAATGAGTTCTTAGATTTACATGGAACTGTAAATAACCCATGTGATATCCTCCTCCATGAATAAGCACAGAATTTGAGTGAAAATACCTAATCTGTCTCACTGTTTATAAAAACTACAGTACAAAAGACAGTAGGGTACTGGCATAAGGACCCATAAACAGATCAGCGGAATAGAATAAGAAGCTCAGAAATACACTCCCATGGTCACTGGTTTCCATCAAAGGTTCTAAAGTAATCTGTGGAGAGAGAAAAAATATCTTTTAACAAGTAGTCCTGGAAAGAGTGGACACTGATACAGGGAAAAATGGGCTCGACCTTTGTTTTAGTCCATTATCTGTCCCTGAAACAAGATACTTGAGACTGGGTAATATATGAAGAACAGAGGTTTCTTTGGCTAACAGTTCCCAAGGCTGGGAAGTCTGAGAACACAGCAGCAGCCCTTGCCCAGAGTTTGGTGAGGGACTTCTGATTGCATTATAACATGAGGAGGGCACCACACGGAGACACTGCAAGCATGCAGCTCAGGACTCTCCTTCTCTTTTTATAAAGCCACTAATGCCATTATGGAGGCCCTAGACCTCAGGATCTCAAGGAATCCTATGTATCTGTCAAAGGCCCTTCCTCCAAATAACATGAACATACAAATCTGGGGATTAAACTTCCAATGCATGCATTTTTGAAAGACACAGTCAAATCACAGAAATTTTATGTCACATCATACACAAAAAATGCATTTGAGATGCATCATGGACTTTAACCATAAATGAAAATCCTGAAAATGATGCCCCATCACAATGTAAAACTTCCGTTATCACAAGTCTCTATGAAGAAAACATGCAAACCATAAACTGAGCTGAGTAAATATTTGCAGAATATAAATCTACCAGAAGACCTGGATCTTAGATAAGTCTTAGAATCAGTTTAAGGACTTGAGCTTCACAACTGATGACAGGTATATGAAAAATTGCACAAAACTATTAATTATCAGGAAGACATCAATTAATATCACAAAAATGCATCAAAATGACTAGTAAACATAAAAGAAAATCTGGCAGCACCAGATACTGATGAAGACATAAGACACCTACAACCAGGCATGTCTTATCTGCGGATATGTTAAAAGGTACAACCAGTTTGGAAAAAAAGCAGAGGAGGTTCTTATAAAACTAAACATTCATCAATTTTAATACAAGTATTTTATCCAAGAGAAATGGAAATACACAATCACAAAATGACTTCTATAGAAATATTCACAGCAATTTAATTTACAATAACCCAAAACAGGAAACTTCACAAGCAAATGGATTAACTATGCTACATTCAGGTAAGGGATTATTATTCAGCAATAAAAAGAAATAAGCTGCTGATACATACACAGCAGTATGTTTGAATTACATACATGGATACTTAAAAAAAGGATAAACAGGAAGAGATTTATATAAAATTAGAACAGATGACAATTTTGAACATATGTGTGCCAAGCATTGTTCCAAGCACCAAGTATGGATAATCTCATTTAATTTTTAACCATCCAACTCCAAAATAGAAACAAGCAAAGTGAAGTGAAAAGACAGGTTGCCCACTTGACTCATGAGACTCAAATGTGTTTTCTTAGGGCTCCATAACTCACACTAGTCATACAGAAAAGACAGAATTACTAAAGTCACTAAGTAAACGTTTGATTAACTTCACATGTGTTTGTATGAAGTAGGTGCTAAGAGAAAATAACTCTAGGAAATACCAAACAGAATATAAATCCGAATCTGCATCCTTGTGAGTTAGGTTAACACATATACAGTGAGACCTCACTGTCTTACCTTAGGAAACTGTTTTACAGGAATTAACACTTTCTGTCCCAGCTTCATGTTCTTATTAATCACCACATCAATGTACTTTTCTTCATCCTTGCCTTCTCCTTTTTGAAACTTTTCTATTTCTGTGGAGGCAAAAAGATAACCATGAAGTGTATGACACAGAACTGCAGAAGCTAGAAGTTCTGGTTAGCTTGGATGTGGCATGAAATAAAATGTAAAAATATGAACTATTAAATTGCTATTAGTTTTTCCATCAATGACACATTCCCTATTTTATCAATGAATTTTCATAAATGGAAAAAATGCATACATCATGGATTGTCAAGTCTTAACTGCTAATGGAGGGGAATTGGATTAAATAAAAATAAAAATAAAGTTCTTTGGGGCCTTCTGGAATCCTAGAGCAAGGCTGATCAAATGACAAAGAAAAGTCAGAAAGCATTCTCAGTTCAGCATTACAAAGCACTGACATCCCTATTTATCAATCTTGCCGGGTTTTCCATAGCTTATACAATTAAGAACTGACTCTAAGATGGCATTAAAAGCCCTTACCTTCCATCAGTCACCTCCCCAACCAAATCTTACCTCCTCACATGTAACATTACCAACTACATGCTAATGTTTTTCTTCATGCTCTTCGCTCTACTTGTAATGTTACAATGATGATCTCATCTTGATCTTTCAAAGCTCGACCTCATTAAATCTCATTTTTCTTGTGCAATTGTCCCTTTCAGTGGAGCAGCAGAAATGGGGGAATCAATCATTCCTACCTTGATAGTCATAAAGCACTTTATGTGCCATTCAACTACTATTCCTAAATGGGGAAAGAATGTGCACCTCTACCACCAGAACAAAACTTCTTCTTAGGTTAAACCTTTATGTTCATCCAAGAGTTTACTGTGTGCAAATTTCAGAGTCTAGAAATACGAGCAGGCTGTTTCATTCACTCCACTCATGTTGGTGGCATAAGAGGCACACAACTGAGTACTAGGTGGGTCTATTACCTTCTGTGGACCAGTTGTTTTGTAACAGCAGCATGGGGAGGAGCCAAATCTGGCATCAGAAATGGCATCAGTTGTACGGAGGGAAAACTGTATTACCCACTTTGCTTATTAAGATAGGAATATTTAAGAATTTAATAGGTGCTTTTCCTGGACTAGGCACCTCACACTCATGACATAATTCAATCCCCAAAACAGACAAGGCAGGAGGATAAGAGAGGTGATGTGACAACTGGCAAAGGCAGGATTTACACCCCAGGCTCGTATGACTCTGAGGACAGTATGCCACTGTAGTCTTTCTCACAATTTCTATGTTGTATCAAAAAGAAAATAAGATTTTCATTGCACCTTATGGTAAAAGGAGGATGTGTTCAAAGCAAAGGCTTCAGATTTAGAGATTCATTTACCACTAAAGCAGCCAAAAAGCCTCATGATATTACTGGAGAATTTTTACTCCAACGTACTGTGGCCTCCAATTTCTTAACAAATTTATTAAAAACAATAATTTTCAATGCACGACAAGGAATTGTTATAATTTAAAGACAGGAAGATTTCAAGAGTCCTCAATCTACTAATAATTGTGAAATTCTATAAAATATACTTGCTTGGATTCAGATTCTTCATGTTTAACACTAGAATATCTAAGGATTTGGTTCTAGGTTCTAAAACATGCAAAAGGGAAGAGGATCAAGAGATGGAAAGAAGGGAAGGGAAGAGGATGAGAAAAGAATTAAGATGTATTATGTATGTATGTACATATTATGTATGTACCAACTCCCCAAAATGAACGTATCCTTTATGTACTACAAACATGTACCAATCAATAGCAATAATAATAAACATTTAAAAATAGAATGTTGAGGTCTTATGTGATCTGTGTATGCTGACAAAACTCTCTCTTTGACCAAACTTAGTAACAGCAATCAAGGTGTTTTCCTGAGCTTTGTGAGTCACCACAGCATATTATCAGACGTAAGGAAGGGAGACAACAGTGAAACTCTAATCAGTGTACTGAGCCAGGCGGAAGTGTGGGTGGCACAGGCACAGTACACAGTGAAGCAGAGCACTCTTGTGGGATGGAGCCCAAAAAGCTCATGTGTGCGCCACCTGGGTGCAGGGTCTGAGCTAACTCCAGTGGGACTGCAGGATACACAACTGGAGCAGGAGAAGAGGATAGTGTTGGCCAATGTTGTGCAAGAGGAATTAATACAGATAGTGAGGGAGAAGGCAGAAGGGGAGAGTCAGAAGACAGGAAGGACCCCTGGGTAAAGGCAGAGGAAACTAACCCACAGCACTGAAGCTACAGGAACAGAGAAGTACTGAGTCGCCACACTAAGGAGTCCCATTTCCTTGTACTATAGAAACTTTTGATCTGTATGGAAATAATACATAGTGAAAGAGAAGGTACCTTTAATTTGTATAGATTTTTTTCTATATGCACAAGATCAATTTAAAACAGTATAACAGAATATAAAATTATTTTATAAGAAGTGGTTAACTTCTATTGTGTATACTTTTGAGGAATTATTTAGTATTTTAGAAATTTTGCATTTATAAAGAAACACATTATTTGAAATTACAGAACTAATGGTAAAAATGAACCTAATTATCTCTGTTTTTCAATAAAGAGTAGAAGTCACACATCAGCTGTTTTTTGAAGTGTAATAATTCATGACTTCAGCTTTAATTAGTAGAGGAAATAAATCCAATCATTTATTACCTACCTATGAGATAATCAGAAGTATCTTTCACATAGTAAAAAGAGTCAATAAAATTAGATACATCAAAACATCCTTAAAATAATGTTTATATGTGTATGTGTGTCAAAATAGATCTAATTGCCTTCTTCCTTTTCAAATAACAAAAAATTTTTGAGAATTCACACCAGATGCACAATTTTACATTAAATTCTATAAAAGCTAAATTTCAAATATTCCTCTTTCCATGAGTAACATTTAACATTTTGAGAATGTGTAAGATTGTAAAATTAGAAAAATTCTGTATCCTACCATATATCAAAGTTTGAACATACCCATATTACACAAGAAAATCTATTTTAAAAACACCTAATTTGCTCTCTAGACACAGAGTCCACTTAAAAAACTGAAGTTGCTAAAACACATTATTGTTAACTTAAATAAAGCCTTAAATTGGGCTGGGATTTAACTAAGTGGTTCCAGTGCCTGCCTTGCAAGGTAAAAGACCTGAGTTTGATCCCAGGTACCAAAATAACAACAACAACAATAAAACAATAAGCCTTAAATTATGTTGTAATACAATGCTTCAGTCCTTACAATTTATCTTTAAAAGTCTGTGTGAGCCTCACACAAGGCTGAAAGCATGCAGTTTGTACCCCCTGGACCTGCTGCAACACACAGCAATGCAGACAGCCCTGGCACCCATTTCTGGGGTTCAACAAATCTGGTTTAAATCATGGCTGCTCTACTTCTCTCAGGCCTTCATGCCTTTCAAGCGCAAGACAAAACTGGTCAAGACTTTAATTTTATTAGATACCATTCAATCAACAATTTTGTATTTTCCACTTAATTGAGGATTGTGAGTAGCATATTTTCATGAAATCCAATAAAATGTAAAGTAAAAAATAGCAACAACTGTGCCAGATGTTCTATAATGCCTCAAGAAAGCCACCCTGTATTTATGCCTATTTTACAATGAGAATAATATATTCTAAAATCCATGCAACCTGGGAAGAGAAGAACCTGATGGCTGTAGTTAACTACATGATCTGCAGTTAACTACAGCAAAGGAAGGCCAACCAATAGAAATAAATCTAATCAGATTTTTTGGGTCAAATGCATAGAGGATTTGACTTTTATTAATCCCAGATTATATCTGGTTTTATACAGCTTCGCAAACCAATACCATCTCCCAGATCAGAAATAACCAAATATGTGATTAAAGTTTTAGATAATTAAAATGCTGCATTTTCAAACCACAAATACCAATTACTGTCATTGCAGAAATAGTTTCATAACAGTGTAAATATCTGCTTCATTTTTGTTCGCTAATTTGTTTTCACCCTGATACAGTATAGTTTCCTAAGTAATGGCCACTTCTCTAGTTAAACTTCCAAATATAAAAAAAGAGCAAAATAAAAGATAATAGGAAACAAAGAGATCTTTTGCAAAAGGGAAGGGAGGTAAGATCCTTCTTTACCTATTTTCTTCAGAATTTATCATGAATGGATATTGAATTTAATCAAAGGATTTTTCTGTGTCTACTAAGAAGGTCAGCTGAATTTTGTTCTTACTTCTGTTTATGTGATATATTGCATCTATTGATTTACATATGTTGAACCATCCTTGCATCCCAACAGGAAAAAAGCCAAAGAAAATAAACATTCTGGGCTCAATTCTGGGCCCTGCCAATCTTCTGCTAGTGACCACAAACATACGCTCCTGAACCCAACCAGAAGGCAGAGGGTATGGGCAATGCTGATGCAGCCCTTACCCATCCACATCAGCCTCCTGGGCACAGAGAGGGCAGAGAGGGCTGGAAGGGGGACCAGGAAAGGTATTAAGGTCTCCAACACTACCTCTGCAGCAAATTGAAGAGTTCAGTTTTTGAACTTCCTTTGAACCCCAAAGGTTCCATTTGAGCTGCATGCATATGAAATTACACAACAAAATGCTAAAAGATAATGAAAATTATTTTAGAAATCACTTGTTACAAAAGCAATAATTATTATTACTTTGTTGAGAATGACTCATGCAATACAAGGCCGTGTATTTGACTTGAATAATCCCTTTAGTCATAATCACGTCCATTTTACAGTCACATCCTGAGGATTCACATGTTTAAGAAATTAGCAAAAGGTTAGGCAGCTAATAACTAACCAGAATCAGGATTCAAACCCATATTTATCAATCACTTCCCAGCCTTCTAGCTAAGATCAAGTATAGCAAAACCGTACTTATCTGACTTCAAATGCCCATACTTTACTTCTTTTTTAACTATAAAAAATACATAATTAAATTTGGTACCTTAACCATTTTGAAGGGTACAGTTCAGTGGTGTCAAACACAATTACATCATTGGGGAAGAAATCAACCTTTTTATCTTGCAAAACTGAAACTCTATACCCATTAGAGAACTGCTTC